GTTCACAGACATAACTTGGTATTTCTGGTATTGACTGTTCATGCCATGTGTCAACAGAAAGATGAGTTAGGTGCCAGTCTCCTTTCCCCATTGGCACTCCTTTTTAACAGAGCCTTATCTATGCCACCTAGAGGCCAGAATTCAGAAGCCAGAAAGAGAGACAGGACTGAGACCTCAATGGAACAGTCACTGGTCTGAAAAGGAAGAGGGGAAACAAAACAGGAGAGTAAGCCCCATTCTCTAGAAACCTGTGGAATGTGCATCTCAAAGTCTTTTATCCGCAAACCTGCTGACTTTGAACCTTGGGCATCCTTGGTTCCTTTAAAATAACCAATGCTAAGGAAAAGCAGGTCTCTCAGACTTTATCTTCTCCCCTGTCCCACTCAAACTCCAGTTTCTCACATCATCCTTCAACTTTGGGCATCTTTTGTTAATTTTTTTTATGAAGTGTTTATATGCCCTAAAAATTTTAAGTGTTTGATTTGTGTCTTTACTCGGCATTTATAGCTATTAGCTCCATCTTGCAGATGATAGAAGAGGCTTGAGGAGCATGAACAAATTGTACCAGGGGATACACTCATGAGGAACCCATGGGAATTAATGGAAACTCAAGTCTCTTTGCATCCAAAGGCTGCGCTTGAACTTCAACAAGCACAAGTCACCCTCAAGGAGATGAGGGCCCACTCAGGCAGTGCCCAAGAGGCAAGCCTGAATTTAAACCCCAGATCATACTCACTTACTGTGACCTGAACAAGTGAGTTCAGTTCTCTGAATAACCATTTTCTCATCCAAAAAACCAGGGGTGACAATAATACTTCCCTCATTAGAATGGCTGGGAGGATTAAATTAGATTACACTTATAATCGAATCCATTTCATAAGTGCTTTGATCATTGTCTGCTTCGCTCTATTTTCTAGAATGAGCACACTGGGGGTATTATGAATGAACCTCATCCAAACTGGGCAGGAAGGAGAGTCCCAAAGGAGGACAAGTGCCCCATGGCCATGTACCTCTGCTGCTGCCTGGACCAGCAGGTCATCTCAGGAAGGCAGGCTGACCAAACCAACCAGGGTGGCTGTCTGCACAGCTCAGAACTCACACTGCCACGTAGGTGCCTTGCCTGAGCTGTCTGGTACAGGGATCCGGTAGGACGTTAGCATTCTGGGCCACTCCATTGCTTGGAGTCAAACGACTATGTGCTTCTCTCTGAGTCTAACCCTCAGTGGCCTGAGGACTAGAGAATCTGGAATGACAGACTTGGTGTTTCCAACACTTAGCAAAGCAAAGGGAGCATCTCAGAATCAAATTACTGACCAATTCTGGACCCACATAGGCAGCGAGAGCTCTTGGGTCAAGGAGAAACCCCAGAGCTGAACACCAGCCAGGGTTAGAGCCCACACCTTCTATCTTTTCCTCTTTGAAGTCAATTTCTGTACAGCATGCTCCAAAGGAAACACAAGTCTTTAGCAGAATACCTTGTGTCCCCTGAATAAAAGGACCAGTGTGGTGTCCTCATCAGTAGAAGTCAAGTCTTTAAAAACTGAAGGAACTGAGTCACTCAGGATAGGTCGTGAATTCTTAACGCTGATCTTCTTTCCATGTACTGTCTATCAACCCAAAGTGAAAGACTTGCCAATTCCTCAGTGAAAGATGCTGGAACAACCACAATGTATTTATGCCTGTAAAGAGTTTTAAGTGTAAATAATAGTCTCAAGACCTTAAAATGCTTTGGGTCTAAGTAAAAGTAATCAACTTTGTCAGACAGGAGTGCAATAGCCACATTACACGTGTGTGACACGTTTCAAGTATGCAGCTGAGATGTCTGCCAGCTCCTTACCTGACCAAACCTGCACCTGGGTTCCCACACCCACTGCTCTCTGTCCCCTGCTGTGTTCCCTGAGCCCACAGCATCACACTCTGTGCTCACACCGCTCTGTCAGCCTCCACCCAGCACCGTGCCCCATGCCAGGGCTTCTTCCTGCCCCATGTCTATCTCCCCTCTTGTGCCCACTGTCCTCAGAGCCACCTGGAGGCACTTCACTGTCCCTGCTCTTCACTGTCATAGCGGCGGTGGCATACTTCCCCAGGGCACGGTCAAAAGATGCTCCTGTAACTCTCAGCCTTATCTGGCAAAAAGGGAGTTATTTCCTTGCATCGAATATCCTCCTCTCCAGTTCTATTTTCTCACTAGGGCCTCAGATCAGCTTGCTTAGGGTTTCGTCTCCCCTAAATCTGCCATTACTACTTAGCAGTCCCTCATCTCTCACCCCTGCCCATATTAGGTTTTCTAAACTCAGTCTAGCAGGCCAGGTAAGGAACAGTTCTCCTTTATCTTCTCTCTCTTCCCAGCCTCCATCAACCACCAGTTCTGCCCTCCATAGTGTTACCAAGAATATTAAGAAGTCCTTTGACCAATGATTGCGAACAGAAAAGTGTGTGTGTGTCACATACGTGTAATGTGTGGCTATTGCACACATGTCTAAGTTTGCTTACTAAGACTCAAAGCTTAAGGTCCTGAAACTCTTATTTACACTTAAAACTCTTGACTTTGTGTGTGTGTGTGTGTGTCTTCCAAGCAGTAATCTTATCGGGTTTTTAGAAGCTCAATGAGTCAGAGGGTATGATCAGGATGGATTTCATGGAGTCAGGAAGAATTCATTTACCTAAGAGAATGGGCTGGACTTGCATCCGAGCAGGGGGGTAAAGAAAAGATGCTCACAGCACAGACTAGTGAACGCTAAGACACACGTGTACCCAAGTGGGGCTTATTTGGTGGAGCAGTGAGAATGTTGAGCATTGAGCAGGAGGTACAGCCGGGGGTGTCACGAGAGGCATGGGGGCAGCTGAGGTAAAGCTGTGGTAGGTAGGAGTGAGCTGGCAGAGGTACCAGCAGAGTTGTGCAGGGTCACAGTGAAGTTTACAGCTTTCACTGAGGACATTAGCACAGTGAATTGGATCACCTTGGTTTGACCGGGGAATATGCAAGGTGGACTGCACAGGGAGGTATGGAGGTGTGTGGTCACAGAGGAAAGTCTGAAGAGAGATTCAGGGGAAGCATACATGTTTGGACTTGACATAGCCTGGATAGAGGAGACATGTGCATGTTCTTGAGTAAATCAGAGTTGTCTCTCCCTGGGGTGCTATTACTTGAGTGAACTGTGAACTATATTCTAGAGGAAACTTCCACTGAAACATGAAACTGCAAGTCAAAGGTCAGGGTGCCAGTGGAATTCTGAGGCCTCTCTAGCTTGCAGAGGGGTCCCTCTGACTGCCTCTCCACATCATCTCCCTGTGTGCATTCATCCCTGTATCTGGTGTTCAAGTTTCCTCTTCCTATGAGGATATTAGCACAGTGAATTGGATCAGCACCCAAACCCCTGGTTTCATTTGAACGTCATCACTTTAAAAAACTACATCCACATGCAATCATATTCTGTGGTAGTGGCTTAGAGCTTCAACATATGAATCTTAAGGGACAGATTAGGACCTCAGCAAGTGGCCTAAGAGACTCTGAACTTGAATCCTCTGATGAATTTAGCCAAAGCTTATTGTTTGCCACTTACTCTGTGTCAGAGAGTATTGTAAGCATTTTGTGGATTATTCCTTCTTATCCAGACAATTATAGATTGCATAACTCTAGATTCTATACATCCTAAATTAATTCTATCGTATAGGTTATTACATCTTTACTGAAAAGTGGTCAATTAATTTAGAGTAATTATATGACGGAGTGAACATCATACTTGTTCCTGTCCCGGGGCTCCTGTGATGTGATGTCACTTGAAATAATGGAACAGGCTCTCCCTGGTGGCACAGTGGGTTAGGACGCAGCACTGCAAGCTGGCTATAGCTGCCTCAGTGCAAGTTTGATCCCCAACCCTGGAGGTGACCCACATGGCATGGTAGACCCCCTCCTGGCCCACCTGCTGCTCCCCTCAGCAGTGTACATCATCAATCTGTCTGGTCTGCTCCCCACTCTGCCTCTGGTGAAACCTCTCACCACCTCTGCACCTCTGGCTCGTATGCACCCCAGTTCTGTATGCATAAATAAATATTAAAAAAAAAAGAAAGAAAGAATGGAACAATCTTAGTATGCTTTGGTTGGTAGAAGATCTCTGGGGAAAGTGCGGTTCAGTGCAATGTGGAGTCTCCACAGGTCAAACCTGCCTGCTGCTGCAGGAGAGACAGGACAACCTCCTTCAGAGGGTTTTCCCCGTTTCCCCCCACACCGAGCTCAGATTCCAGCCTCCTTGTTGTGTTGACTGACTTTTCAGCAACAAGACAGGAAACTGTCATCTCAAGGAGTCAGGCAAGAAAGCATGACGGAGCACTCTGTTTCGAGGAGACCGGCAGCCTCCACCCAGATTGTGCATGTGCAGCTTACACCAGCACACCCCAGGGCCCCTGAGCAAACTGCTGGGCACAGCTAGCAAGCTGGAGACACCTGTACCTACCTCGTCTCACTTAGTCCATCTATCAACTCTGAAAAAAGCTATTCTTAATCCTGTTTACAGATAACGAAACTGAAATTAGATGGGGCCACAGCCTGGCCCCACCCTTCCTCTGTGTGACCTTGAGCTGATACTTGATTCTCTGGATGCGTCCCCCTGACCTTGCCTGTAAAATAAGTGCTTGTGCTCATGCCCCTTCATAGCGGCACTGCTGAGAGGCGACCCCGTGGCCCTGAGCCCTCGTTCAGCCATGGCGCTCCTTGAGCCTGTCGTGCGACCTGGCTTCTCGGCCTGCCCCTCTCAACCTTCTTTCCGAGGCCCCAGTCTACAGGCCCAGCAAGTAGACACACTCCTGAGGGTCCCACTGTCCAGACTCCCTGCTCACCATCCACGCTGCTGAACTTGCCCCCTGGAGAATGAGTCAAAAGCAACAGGGACAGGGCCGTAGGCCTCCAAGGGCAGCGCTGGGCCACTCTGCAGCTCAGAGGGAGAGTGCCGTTTGACTACACAAAATGACAGCCGGCTTTCTGTCTCTCTCTGATCCTCCAGGAGGCTCTGTCGGTGGTGAGCGACGACCAGTCCCTCTTCGATTCGGCTTACGGAGCGGCCGCCCATCTCTCCAAGGCCGACATGACCGCCTCAGGGAGTCCTGACTTCGGGCAGCCCCACAAAATCAACCCTCTGCCCCCCCAGCAAGAGTGGATTAACCAGCCAGTGAGGGTCAATGTGAAGCGAGAGTATGACCACATGAATGGATCCAGGTAAGCCCACCAGGCCCTGCGCTGCTCCAAGCTCAGAGCTGCGAAGGGGGGCTTGAGGCTTCTCACTCCCCAAGTGTCTGAGTCAGACACATCTGACCAACTGGCTCCTGGGCTCAGGGTGTCTGCAGCAGGTGGGGCTCTGGGCTGGGCAGGGAATCTTAGTTGACAGAGAGGCCTTAGACGTGGTTCTCTGAGGCCCACTGCAGAGGCCTTGGTGGCCTGCTGAGCACCTGTACTGTGCCAGCCTAGGTCCAGGCCCTCTTGGAGATAACTTAGCACCTAGACTCTCTTCCTTGTCCTGTTTGAGACACTTAAGCTCTCTGGGTGGGTGGCCCCAGAGCAAGGCCACACCATTCTTACAGCATAAGTCCAGGGTTGATGAGAACAACCAGGAGCTCACCATACAGGGGAGGTCACAGTGCAGTTGGAAAGCCTGGGGCAGGGAGGACTACACTTGTAGAGATGGAAGAAGAAAGTCTAAGAGAGAAAATGATGTGGGCAGAGAAGTGGCCTGTTGGTGGACTGGTCTAGGGGCTGCCTTTTCATAAAATGCATGTTCGAATCCCTGAACATCAGTATCTTCCCCAAAACAGGGCTGGTGGGTCTATGGACACTTGGCAGAATTGGTACAGGGCTATCGTGGAAGCTGAAGGGAAAGGACGCAGGACACTACCTGGGACTCAAAAGAGTTCCATCATGAGGGCGATGGTTATGAGCAGAGGTTTGAAAGAGAGAAAGTGTCTTCTTTTTTTTTTTTTTTTAAAGATTTATTTATTCATACAGAACTGGGGTACAGGTCAGAGATGTGGAGGGTGAAAGGATTCACCAGAGACAGAGCGGGAAGCAGAACAGGCAGATCGACGAAGTACACAGCTGAGGGGAGCAGCGGGCGGGTCAGGAGAGGTCTGCCGCGCCATGTGGTCACCTCTAGGGCAGGTGGGAATCGAACTCATACGGAAGTGGCTTAAGCTTCTTTGTGCTGTGCTTTAACCTGCTGCGCCACCAGGGAAGGCCAAGAGAAAGTGTCTTCTTACCCATGAAGCGTGGGACAATCTATGAATGGATTTGCAGCACAGACTGAAAAATGGAGAGTGAGCCAAGGGGCTAAAAAATATGGAAATTGGGCCCTCCCTGGTGGTGCAACAGGTTAAAGCACTGCATTATGAGGCTCTCCAAAGCCACTGCAGCACAAGTTCGATTCCTGGCCAGGGAGGTGACCCACATGGCACAGCAGACCTCTCCTGACCCGCCCACTACTACCCTCAGCAGTGTACTTTGTCAGTCTGCCTGTTCTGCTCCCCACTCTGTCTCTGGTGAATCCTGTCACCCACCACACCTCTAGCCTGTACCCCAATTCTGTAAGCATAAATAAATAAATAAATTTGTTTTAAACATGAAAATTATTCCATAGGTAGACACCAACTTTAGAACAGAAGTGACACTTGGCATCATCAGAGCTGCAATTTAAGACTAGAGAGCAGGCAGGGTGGGGGAGGCCCAAACGATAAGCTAGAGAAATATCCCAGATAAGAAATCACCAAGTTCTGGACTAGGATGATGTTGTAATGATTATGGAAATAAAAGAGATAGTTACATGAGGGACATTCCAGAGAAGTAATTCATGAGGTTAAGTGAGTAACTACTAAAGCATGTTAGGGAAGGGGATGTGAGAAGAAAGAATCAAAGGTAACTGAAGCTTGTATGTTGTCAAGAAGTACAGGGCCTTAGCAACCAGGGGAGGTGGGAGAGAAAGGCTTTGAGAAGAGATGTTAATGTCCCCATGAGACCAGTCAACAGCAGACAGTAGAACATTTGGGTACACTTGCCTCCTAGGCTTTGGAAACTGAAGCTCACGTGATATTTGGGTTGGAGTTAGGTTTGGACATTCTTTCCATAGAGTGTGGATGAGGTCTCTACAGATACCACTGTAGAGAGAGAAGAGAAAAGAGAGCAAGCTGGTGGCTGGAAGGAGACTTCCCCCAGACAAGACCCTGGTCTCAGCCCTTTGTGGAACAGTCAGCCCCACCACATTGCAATCCCACTAGCCAAAACCAGTGACTGGTATCACAGCCACCACCCAGAACCTAGGATTTCAGGAAGGTTCAGAGGTTCTAAGCCAGGAGCCTCTGGAATGAGTTTCTCTTTTCATAGATAATATGGATAATGAATTTCTCCTTGCAGTTCAGTAGGGCAGAGTTTATGAAACTTTTTTCCAGGTTTTCTTTTGCTCTATATCACTGTCCCCTGAGGTATTTTCTGTAGCTACACTTTGGCGTATAAAGGCAATTTGGACTTGGAGTGGGGAAGAGTCTGGGATCGGGAGGCAGTGATCTCCCATCAGGACCAAGGCTTCCTGACTCCTGCCCTGTGACTCACTTTCCCACTCCCTCCCTCTCCAACTGGATATGGTGTTCTAGCTCCACTTGCTTATTTCTGCTGCCCCCCAATATTGAGGAAGGCAGTTCAGCAGTGACTTCCAAGCTGGCCTGACCCCAGGAGCATGTTAGAAACCCAGACCCCACCCATGAAGGCCTTGGTCTGTGGTAGCCTATATCCAACCACCATCAGCCTCTGCCTTTCACCCCCACCCAAGCAGCAGCTCTCTCCCTTGTCCAGGGAGTAGCCCTGTTTTTCCACTCCCTCTAGCTTTCCCAAAGTCTGTTCCTCAGAGAGCAGCCAGTCACCCTTTTAAGTATTTAAGTCTCTGGCTCCAACCCCTGAATGAGTTCTGAGAAAATCCAACGTCTCTTGTGGGCCCCATCCTCCTCCCTCTGACACCTGCTCCCCTCCCTCCTTCCCACCCCTTTCCTGCACCCCAGTCCCACCAGCTGCTCTTGGACCCTACACACATGCCCACATAGGAGCCTCCTCCCGGGTATCGATGCTTGGCATTTTTTCTGGAATATTTCTGCTCCCTGTAGACATCTGACTCCCTCCCTCATTTGTTTCAGGTCTTTCCCAGGATGTCACCTTCTCAGAGTTCTTGCCTGTCCATCTGATCTAGAACAGCACTGTCTCTCATTACCTGCCACTGATTCTTCTCCCCTCTTCCTGGCTCTTGTTACACCCCTCAGGAAAACATGGGCTTTGTTTTATTACTGAACAGTATCAGGCCCATGATAGGTGCTCAGAAGATCACTGTGAAGTGAGTAAGTACCCACATGCCTGGCTAGCCAGATGCAAGGTGAAGAGGCTTTCTCAAAGTCAGTTCCTGAGTTAAGACAGACACAGCTGGGCGACAGTGCCCCAGAACGAGTAGTCTGTTTGTGCATTTGAAACTGACTGCTCTGTCCCCTATTCCTAGGCATGCCAAAGCCTCTGAGTTAATCTTCCTGGGCAAAAAGTGTCCCCCAATGAAACCGGTTTTCAGAAGTCACTTGTCAAATCCTTCCTTACTCCAGTCATATCAGAGGGCTGCTGGAGCATTGTGCGAACACCCAAAGCAGCCGAGTGTTGACCAGGTTCTCATGGCACAAAGCAGCCCCTGCTTTTGATTTGCCTGATTGAGCCAGACTAACAGCGAGTAACAAAGTAGGTTCAGAAAGACAGATGTCACCTCACCACCTCGCCTCACTTTGGTGGGACATAGAAGACACAGTGGACCTTCAGAACCACAGGTTAGACACGGCATCACCAGCACCTCGTAAATCCTCCGCATGCTTCTCTCGTGTAGGCTGGACCGGAGGGCAGCAGAGAGCAAGGGCTTTCAGAAAGATCTTTGCCTGGGGTAGACTATGTCAGGCCCTACAGTTCGATCATCAAACGTAACACAATGAAACGATGCCAGTGAATTTAAATATCTCACCCTCCAACCTGGGCTTCTCGAGTTCCCGGAGTATTAGTGATAATGGTGCTGCGTTTCTGGTTTTCAGAAGGCAAAAGAGTTCTAACTTCAGCCTCAGAAACCAGAGCAGAGGTTGTGATTTAGGATTTCTCAGCTCGTGGACTAGATGTGTGCTGTGCCACGTGGAAGCCACTTGCACAGGTTGCTGTTGAACACTTGAAACGTGGTTACAACTTGACCTGTGCCCTGAATGTCCGATACATACTGGATTTAGAAGACTGAGTATGGAAGGAAATGCAAAATAGCTCATTAATTCATTTTTATATTAATGATGTTGAAATAACCTTTTGACGATGAAGTTAGTTTAGCAGTACATTTTAAATTCACTGTTAAAATTTTTTTCGCCTACTTTTTTAATTTTATAACGTGTCTACTAGAAAATTTTTAGTTACCTATGTGGCTGATATTCCACTTTTTAAAATTTTTAGAAAGTTTTATTTTTTATTTACGTATGCATACAAGAGCTGTGGTTTAAAAGCCATAGATGTGGGGATTGAGAGGTCTCACCAAGGACAGAGTGGGAAACAGAACAGGCAGATCTACTGAAATCACTGCTGAGGGGAGCAGCAGGCAGCAAAGGAGAGGTCTGCTGCACCATGTGGGTCACCTCCCTGGCTGGGGGTAGAACTCTGCTGCAGTGGCTGGTGATAGCGTTATAAGCTGAGACCTATCCCCTGTACCTACCACCCAGAAGCCCTCATATTCCACTCTGAAAGGACAGCACGGGGCTAGAATATTTGGGACTACCCTGTGGTTCAGAGTGAATTCTCTCCAGGTTCTTTGGTAACTTGGGTTTCTCACTTGGTTTTTCATGCTTATTGGAGGTTCCACAGATACTAGAGTCTCTAGAAGAGTATTTGTGTGCCTAAAGCTACATGTCTTCCTGCCTTTTATTGTAGCAACAAGTCCTTTTGGACCAAAGACAAAGGTCAAGGGGAGGGTGTGAGATCTGGGGAAAAGGTTAGTTCAGGCAGTGGGAGATTTACTCTCCTTCCTTTCTTCTAGTAGTGGGGTGTCTGTTAGGGTGAGTGTGTCTGGAAGAGGCACGGGCCATAGGTTCTGTGTTAGATGTGACTTCAGCAACTTGATCCAAACTGTGGTCTGCACATAACTTTCAGCTGTATCCTGTCTCAACCACGGGACTAGGGAAACCTCCCACGGAGGAAAGAATATCGTTTATGGTGGGGAAATGCAAGTGTCCGCTTGCCTTGTGTGCCTGAGTGCAGAGCCTGAGGCCCCAGCAGCCTGCTCCCCCCTTGCATGGCTCCCCCAGGCCCCAGATGCCCTCTGAGGACCCCCCAGAGACTTCCATACAGCACAATCAGTCTCACGCACTTGTTGCTTGTGCTTCTCTGGCCACAAAGCACCTTCCTGGGTTCATTTAGAAGCTTGCAGTATGAAGCATGTCACACACGGCCTGGGTGGAAGGCCATGCTCTGGATTCTGGAAAAGCTAGAGGCACCCTATGATGTATGGAGATGAAAACAGCAGTTGGTTAGGGTGATGGCTTTATAATGGGTGGTTTCTTTTCTTTAAATTCACTTTTAACATCTTGCATCTAGTTTTGAAAAGCAAAAATGTCACACACACACATCCACACATGCATCCTTTGGAACGTCTAAAGACAAGAGCGATTGCTTGGTTTTTGTACAATGGACTCATCACATGGAAGACACATGTGAGGTCCTAATGCATCTGTGCGGCTTGGGTAACCTTTGAACTGCCACATGAGTGGTATGACTTTTGGGACACTGTATTATTCAGAGTAAATAAGTCTGGGCTGCAGATTTGGGGATCTGGGCGATAAATGTTGAGTTAAGTCATCTGGGTTGAATAGAAGGTAGAGAAGATATTGCATAAAGTCTAAAGAGTTTACCTTTAGGAGAAAGCATTGAAGTTTCCTTTCATCCAACTATTTCTCACTTGGTTTTAAAGCGCTTAGCAGCTTGCAAGCCAGTTTGGAAAACAGCAACAGTCTTTGTAAGACAATGTCCCCTAAATATGCAGATCTGGACTCTGTGGAGCAAAGCACCTGTGTCCAGAGGTGAGACGCAAGAACAGGGCTGCAGAGTCTACCTCCCCTTTGCTGTAGCCTCCCTGCACGGCTCTCCTTGGCCTGAGGTGGAGGTGCCGAGTGCCTACCTCCTCCCTGCTCTATTGTGGTGCTCCAGGCCCTCTTGTCACCTGTCCCAGTGCTAATAGCTGCTGTGGGCCCCAGTCCCATGCTAGCTGTAAGTGCAGGTCTCAATACAAATTAGCAGTGCAGGCAAGCTGAATGGCTGTCTCTTCCCCTGCATCCATGCTCCCCCCTCCTTCTCTCTTGTTTTTATTCGGGGCCCTCTTCAGAGGCGCCAGCTGCCTCATTAAAAAGCAGCCTTTATGCTGTGCTTCACCTGTACCCACCCTTAGCCATGGCTGGTGAGCCCAATGGCCGCGTGCGGGGGTGTGCTGGGCTCCGGAGCTGCAGACTGTAGAGCTGTGTGACAGGCCAGCCGTCAAGGGGCGGTTGTCCTACCTTCTCTGCTGAAGAAGTCACAGACGGGCTAAGCCAGGCATGAGAAGCAGTCCAGAGCCTGTGCCGGGCTCCGCCTAGCAGAGTGATCTGGAACCGAGGACACAGCCTCACTCCAGAGGAGAAGCACACAAGGGCAGGTGACCAAGCAAGATCACCTTGCCCAGTGGGAAACAGTGGGAAACAGGTGTGCCCACAGGAGCTAGAGGAAACAAATGTGAGGACTTCTCTGGGATGGAAACAAGAGGTTCCAACCACTGATGGCCTCCAGTGGCCTCTCCAGCAAGAGAGCCCAGGTCCTAGCACCGGTTCTGACGTTGTCCTCTGGCGCTGACCCCTCCTGCCTCCCCAGCACCCACCTCTTACCCTAGCAGGTGCTGATCTCTCAGGTGCTCTTAGCTCCTTTTCTCCCAGGTCACGTGCCAGTCAGCTTCTCTCAAATTCACGTTTCTCTATTCCCAGTCCTGGGTGGGACAGGAGCCTGCACACAGTCACTTCATTTGCATGATCTCTCCAGTTCTGACTTCTGCATGGCCAGGGGTCAGTTTGGGGGCTCAGAAATCCCCTGGACCAGACCAGTGCAGAAACAACTTTTTCAGAGCTCATGTCTCCATGTTCCTTGTGGGAGGACAGCCCCAGGAGCTAGCCAGCCCCCCACCCTCACCCCCCGCTCCCCCCGCACCGCTTCCAGCATGCCCCTGCCTGGAACATTGCTCTCCTTGCTGAAAGTTCCCTCGCCCCTGCCCACAGCCCTTGCACTCCAGCACCCGCCCGGGGAAGTGTGTGCTCTGACAACCCCACCCTTTGCCACAGAGTTCCTAGCCAATGAAAACGTTGCTGTCTTGGTTCAATGCCAACTTAATCCTCCAAACTTCTGCTGCACTTGGTTGTTTCACAACTGACAAGTATGCTGGGAAAGGCCGCCAGACCATAGGCGGGTGTGTGTGTGTGTGTGTGTGTGTGTGTGTGTGCACGCGTGCGCACACACACGTGTGCACGTGTGTGCATGTGTCTGGGTGCACGTGCGTGCACACTCTTGTGTCTGTGTGCACACGCGCCCGCTTGCGGTTAGCCCTGAGGAGGGTGTGGGACCTGGCGAGCTCAGCCAGAGCGCAGCTCAGACTCAGGACCAGGGTCTTTCTGGGACTGCTTCATCTCAGGCCAAGTCCTTCAGCAGCAGAAGCCAAAGGGCCAAACTCTGGTGAAAAGCCCCGATGTGCTACTGCCTCCTCTCAGACTGCCATGGGGACATTAAACCTTCAACAATCTGGGCCTCTGACGGCTGGTTCTTGGTTCTCTGCCTGGAAAAACAGTAGGCGAATAGTAAAACCTTAAATTCTAACATGTGTAAGTTATACATCTTATTTTCATTTTCAGCCCATGTTCCCCTCTGTAAAACATCAGGAAAAAATTACCGTCTGACTTCTAATATCTCAGTGGAGCATTTATCTCCCAGCTATGATAAGTGATCTTCGATATTTTTTTCCTTTCAGATTAGGAAACAAATTCATTTAATTTTCTTTATTGAATGTGTTCGGGTCTCCCCCCACCCCCCTGCCCAAGTCCCCGCCCTGCTGGGCTGTGGCTCCTGCTCTGGCTGATGCAAGGCTCTCCCTGCTTGTGGGCAGCTGCCACCACGTGGCTGGAAGGGCAGCCCCCCCCCATACAAACCCCCCACCCCCACCCCGCAGCACCACTCCAACCCTGAAGGCCTCCCCAAGGCTCCCTCCTGCCCACAGTGGTGAGGGGAGGGCAGCAGGCAGGCCTTTGGAAAGCTGGGCGAGGTCTGCAGCCAGTGTTGGCTGGCTGTAATCTGAACCTTATCTGAACTTGGTCTGAAGGCCTGGTTTGGAGTTCTGGGGAGGACTGGCTGTCTCCCAGGTTGCCAGAACTGATGCTTCCTGCTCCCGATATTCCTTGTCTTCTCTGGCCCTGCTGCTCTGAGTGACAGAGTGGAGGATGAGGGCAGGGTAGGGTGGCACTTCTCCCCAGGCATGCTGGGAGAAGCCAGGTGCCTTGCTGGCGGGGGACATGTGTAAGATTCTGCCAGTCACTTTGGGGCACCAGATGGCTCCATGCAGAGTGTTGGTTCAGTGCTCCAGACAACTGTCCATAGCTGAGCTGACTAAGTGGCCTCTCTGCTCCCAGTTTGCGAAACACCAGGTGCTAATTGAGCCCCAGACTTCCAAGAGCGGTTGGGTGACTTGCTCTGTTCCATATGCTTCTCCGGGGGGGCGTGGTAGCTGCAGAGCACCGCAAGGCCTGGCCTCTCCATCAGGTTGAGACTCTTGGAGTTTACCCCTCCTTCACTCAGCAAACAGCACTTTTGTGTATGCGCCTTGATAGAGAAGTTTAACCCCCAAGGCTGAGTCTTCATTCCTGCTTCCACCATTACAAGCTGGGTGGTTCCCCCTAATCCCAGAAGTCACGTCACTTCTCAGTTTCCTTAACCATAGAAGAAGTGCTGTTCACCCTTGCTGTGCCTCTCCTGGAGTGTAACTGGGAATTAAAATAGAAAAGTGTGTAAGAAAGAGTTAAAAAAATGCCATAGAGGGCCCTCCCTGGTGGTGCAATGGGTTAAAGCACAGCTTGAGAAGCTAAAGCTACTTCCACAAGAGTTCGATCCCCGCCTGCCCGGGAGGTGACCCACATGGCGTGGCAGACCTCTCCTGACTTACCTGCTGCTCCCCTCAGCAGTGTACTTCATCGATCTGTCTGTTCTGCTCCCAACCTTGTGTCTGGTGAATCCTCTCACAGCCCCTGCACCTCTGGCCTGTACCCCAGTTCGGTATGCATAAATAAATAATTTTTTAAATGCCATAGAAATAATTCACTCTCATTCTAATACTAATCACTCACATTCTATACAATGCACCTTATAGTTGAAACAAGAAAACAACGACATCATCCGCAGGAAACTTCCAGTGTAGCCAGGGATAGGGCGCCTGAACAGTATGACACTCGGCTTCCTTCTCAGGCCCTTTGCATTTGTTTTCCGTGGAACCTGGGTCTCCTAGGACTCCAGCCACATCCAACTGTCTTGGGCTAAATGCCAAGTGTACAGGAATAGTGTCCAGGGGGGGTCTTCTCTGCCACAAGGCAGAAGGGAGGTGTCAAGAGGGCATAGAGAAGACGTGTCTGGGAGCAAAGAGGGCCAGTGTCACTAAGGTGTAGGTGGCTGGGCAACGAGGCTAAAATGAGAATGGCAGCCAGGGTGGGAGGGCAGCATTACTGGACACCGAAGCCAGGCTGAGGGAGGGCAGAGAAACCTGCCAAAAGCTTTTAAACAGAGTAATTATAGGATTGGGCTGGGAGTTGGAGAAAACCCTGGTGGCTGCGTGGAGGGTAGAAATAAGGCAGCAGCAACAGCTCCAGATGGGACTGGGAATGGCTGCACAGTTAACCCAGTCATTGGCAGGGGGCGCTATGACCATGGTCACTTCCTCTGGGTTTTGTCTCCTCTCCTGCAGGGAGTCTCCCGTGGACTGCAGTGTTAGCAAATGCAGCAAGCTGGTTGGTGGAGGCGAGTCCAACGCCATGAACTACAACAGCTATATGGACGAGAAGAACGGCCCCCCTCCCCCCAACATGACCACCAACGAGAGGAGAGTGATCGTCCCCGCAGGTATTGTGGGAGCTGAGCTGCAGCTGGTGTCCTTACCCTCATACTTCTGGGCTCATAGCTGAAGGCAGGACTGTCCCTGGTGGCAGATGTCCCTTTACCTGGTTCCTCTTCACTGTGGAAACACTTACCTGGGAGAGGTGTCTGTCTCCTCTCCCCCACTAGCTGTATCTCGAATGGCACCAGAATCCTAAAGTGCACAATCTGGAGCTCACCCCACTTCTTCCTCCTCTCCACCACCACACACAGCTCACACCACACTCCACCACTGTGCCTGGTCCTGTAGATTGTAGCCACAAAGAGAGTGGAGGCAAGAGCGCCTGATCCCAAAAGGAATCCTCACCACCCCGGATGAGCCCATCCTTGCCTTTAAGAAGAGTGGTTTCACAGTCTGCCATGTCCATCAGGCATGTTCTTCCCGGCCTCTGCAGGGTCCCACCTTTCAAAATTGCAGCCAACTCTTTCAGTTTCAAAATAGAAAGAACTATATTTAACAAATGGAGAACCTTAACATGTGTGCAGCAAGTTACATCACTATGTAAAAATAGCCTGTTTCTCCTAGGCATTGGTGCTGTTGGTACAGAAAATAAAATCATTGTTCAAGCCTCCAGTCCATGGGCTGGACGCTGCCTTGGCTAGACCAGCAAACACAACAACCTGGTCAAAAGGGAGTCTGAAAATTGCAGCATGTAGAGTTGGTGCCAGTAGAAGGAGAAAGAACATCCAAATCGTTGGCAAAGTGAATTACAGAGCAGGGATTAAAACTAATCCTACCGAAATAGCCTTACCAAGAAGGCAAAACTCCTTCCCTTTGGAAAAGAGTTACAGTAGTTGTGTCTGAAGGCAAAGGATTAGACATCTCTTTGAGGCAGCTCAAAGGCACAGCCTTGCCAGTCTCAAAGGTGTGGTTTTGTAGCAGGCCTTCCTTCCCAGTCCTTTTACTTGGTTTTCCATGGAAGCTTGTCTCCTAGCACTACAGCTGCTGCCATGTGTTCTGGGCCCAATGCCAGGCAGCAGGGAGGGGGAGCCATGGGCTGGTGGGGTAGGAGTGGGGGGGTGGGCCATTGGGATCCTTTCTGTGTCCTCAACAACTTGAAAAGTGCTCAAAGGCATTTTTAAGCTCCTTCCACAGGCCTACGACCTCACAAAGGAAGAAAGAGTGTGGACCCCCCCTTTCCGGACTATGCTCTAGAGGCCAGACACCATGCCAGTGGCTTTATCTACATGGCATTACTTATGTTATATAATGTTTGATCTCCTCCCGCCCTCAGGACACCAGCGAGGGGTGTTCAGCTCAGAGGCATTTATATGGTTGAGTTTTGACTCTGTCTTCTCTCTTCTTCTGTCTTCAAAAGAAGGCAGACAATGCGACTGTTTTACAGTGACCGTGGGGGCCACCTCTCCCAACCCACCAGTGCCTCCTTTGGTATTGAACATTTTGCTTTCCCAGTGTTCGGCCAGGGAAGGTAATCTTGAGGACAGAAGAATTAGGGATCAGAGAGTTGTACCATCTTATTTGGTAGTCACAGAGAGCAAAGGGAGCCAGATGAGGGGTTGAGCCCTCGGTATTGGTGTTGAAATACTTTCAAAGGGAATAACAAGATGTCATTCTTCAGCGGGCCAAATAACACCAGTAATAATGAAAATTGTGTAAACTTCTAGCAAAAGGTTCTTAAAGCACTTGGTGTAATGAATTCACTGGTTAGAGACTGACTTCATCCTATTACCTCTGGCTAGATATTTAAGCTATATCCTCAGACATTTTGACTTCCTCCAGGTCAACCTCCTGGACACGAAGGAAAGTCTCATTTGGGCAAGTCCACAAATCAAAGCAATAAAACACTGGTGGAACAACCGATGGAATTTATGGTGGGATTTTAAGACAAGTATAAACGAGGGCCATAGTTAATCACCAGTTCCAAGTTCAGATGGGAAGAAACCGGGACTAAATCATCCAGGAAATACATTTGGAAGAGTTTAGTGTGATCCAGAGTGGAAGATTTATAATTCATTGTGTTGTAAAGGGAGAGAAATAATATTGTGATAGAGCCCAAAGCAAGAACGGAAATAGTAAAATAAATAAAATATATGGTAAAAAATTGAATATGAGGTCTTGGATACTAGAAGTGAGGACATAGGGGCAAGCAAAAGAGATCAGATGAAATAATATAACACAACTCCTCCTAGGATCTTTTTTTTTTCCCCTAGATTCTGAAATGGTGCAAATTTATTTTCATTTACTAGTGATCCATGCTTATTGTTTCTGAAAGTAAAAGAGTAAAATAAAGCAAGAAATTTACCCGAGGGGTGGATACAGACTTGAGCGAGGGAACTTTAAGAGGAAATCTGGTTTGGGGCCTCATAGCACAGGAACTTAGAGGAGATTTAAGGCATGAGAAGACAGGAGCAGAGGAGGCTGAGGGGTGAGGCACCTACCCTGCCACGGAGTGAAATCTGGGAAGACTTTGCTTGTATCACCTCAGTTGTCTCACCAGCAGTGGGACTTTGACCGAGCCACTCAAGACTCTACTTTCCGTCTGGAAAATGGGAATAGCAAGAGCTATTGTGCAGGATTTTCTTCATAAGTAAAAAGCAGGAACTGTGGGACTGCTGGCACATTGTAACCCAACCTGAGCCCTTCCTTGTTATCAGTGCTGGCTTGACAGTGTTGTGAAAGTAGCAGCCAATGACCCCGGTCATTCTCCTCTTCTACTCCTTCCTCTTTAGCTCGTTCCTCCACCTCCAGCACAAACGCAGCCGCCTCTCATGCATGAGTGTGCAAGGCACTTTGCAAAGCCAACTCAGCCCCTGCCTCCTAGATCCTCACATATAAAAATCAAGGTGAAGTGAGCACTCAGGCTGTGCAGTGAGGATGGGGAACAGTCTTTGGCAGCTCAGCCACAGAGAGGGAGGAAAACAACAGAGCTTCTTCTTTCCCCACAGACACTCCTAATTATCCAAAGCTGGTTCCCATTTTGATAAGAGCCTTCGCAGACTGAGAATGAGAGGGTGAGCAAGCACAGATATTCCTGCCAAATACAAATGCTAATAAAACAGGTCCAGTGGAAGTTGGGGGCTAACAACAGACATATAACCTCAAATTCCCTCCCCTCCTCCAGGAAGCCTTCCATACCTTTCCAAGTTCATACTATTCCTTTGTCCTAGGATTCCTTGAGCTACCACCATAGAACTGAGGCTTAATTCTGTACTTTCCTAAGTGTTTCATGAGAATAAGCCTTCCATGGGGCCAAGATCCCTGCAATTTTCTTCTATGATGAGCATATTTAAGGTGATTATTGGCTGTGATAATAATTGGTTGCCAAAGAAAGAGATGGTTTCCAGATTGTGTTCACCGATAAGATATAGAGGCCTACTGTAGAAGTTTCTGGAATTCATCACCAACACCTAAAGTATGCACACTCACCCCACTTGCACACAAACTGAGAAGCTGTAGGGGACTAAGTGGGGATGATCTCAGTCCTTACATTATTCATGTTCGCTCAAGGTCTGAAAGACTTTCTCTTTAATACCATGTCTCATCTTTGGAGATTTAAATATTATGAAAATATCCTGGGGTTGGTCTGGGAGACATTCAAAGCAGGTCCCCAAAAAGGAGATCCCAGGTTGGATTTATGTTCAAGAGCAACAGCACTGGGCCTTCCAAACACACAGACACAACTACAGTAAAAGTGTACGAGTGCATTCCTCCACGCCCTCAAGAGATCAGCTTCTCCCTCAAATCGTTCATGTTCTTGAGATACAGACAGCTTCCGTTTCCAGAGACAGTAGTCCCTGGGACTATGGAACTATATTTATCTTCATGCTGGTTATACCATCTCTTAGGCAAAGGTTGGTCAACTGCTCCCCCCAAAACTTGAAAGAGCATCCTGACAGCACCTCCGTGAAAACGTGCCGAGTTCTGAGTGGTTCAGGCAGGCCAGATGCCATGGCGCCAGATGGGAGTTCTGAGAGGACCATGTCAGAGGGCACCCACTTTCCCACTGAGGAGGGTGGTGGGTCAGGAAGGGAGGAAAAGAGGGAGGAGAAAGGGAGGGAGGGTGAAAGACAGAGATGGGGAAGAGGAAAAAGAAGGCAGGGAAGAAAAGGAGGAATGAGGAGAGAAAGAGAAAGAAAAGGGGAGAGGAGAGAGAAAGGTGGGAAAGAGGTGAGGAGGGAGAGAGGAAAAGATGGAGAGACAGGGAGAGCAAGAGAGGGTGGGAGAGATCCTGAAGGTGAGATGGGGGAGGGGAGAGACAGAGAGAAGTGAGAAAGGGGGAAGAGGGAGAATGGGCAGGAGATAGTGGCAGAGATGGAGAGAGAGGCTGCCCAGGTTGCTTGTAAGGGAGGTAACCAGCTGCCTACAGCCCTCACTAACAGCTTCCTCTCCCCTCAGACCCCACGCTGTGGACACAGGAGCACGTGCGGCAGTGGCTGGAGTGGGCAATAAAGGAGTACGGCTTGATGGATATCGACACCTCCTTTTTCCAGAACATGGATGGCAAGGAACTGTGTAAAATGACCAAGGAGGACTTCCTCCGAGGCACCTCCCTCTACAACACAGAAGTGCTGTTATCACACCTCAGTTACCTCAGGGAAAGTAAGTGCCTTGTTAGTTCCTGGGCAGAAAACCCCCATGGGATGCAGCCTACCTCCCAGGCCAGGAGCAAGCTGCCAGGCCCGCTGCTCTGTCGTGAAGGAAGACTGGCTTCCCAAGGATCAATCCGAGAAAGGAAATTGATTCCCTGGGGCTGGGCTTGTGCTGCAGGAGCTGCATTTGGGTCTGTAAAGTTGCCAAGGTCATGGGCTCCCACAGACCCAGTGAGGAAGCGACCCTGTCCTGTAGAGTCAAGAGAAATAAAAGGATGGAGAGACAGCAGGTGTTGTGCCCAAGAAGTCACCCTTCCCTTGAGAATCCCTCTCCAGAAATGACTTTGGCCTGTAATTATATATAGATGGATGCCTTGGTGGGAATTTTCCAGATTGAAAACTCCTATAGAAACTTAATGGGTTTAGGTCTTAATTTTTGGTTTCATGGATTTAGGACTTAATTTTTGAAAATCTACACATTAAGTAGATTTTGGGGCCAATCTCTGTACTTTCTAACCCCCCTCACCCCCGTTCCAACTAACATTTACTTCCTTGTAAATCAGGGACAGTAGCAGATGCTATGTGGGTGTTAGGATCTAGTAGAAGCTTCCTCCTGAAACAGTCTGAGGCAAAAATTCTACTACTGAATAACCAGCACCTCCATCCACCGCTCCTGGAAAAGAACTTTGGAAAAGGAGAGCTTAAGAATTTATGAAAGAAAGTGTGAGGTTGACCAGAGGATTTACCCAGTGGGAGGGTTCTCTAGCACTGGGCTCCCATCAATTTGGCATGATATATACACAGAGATGAGAACAGAATTCTTTTGTTTTTTTTTTTTAAGACTTATTTATTTATGCATGAAGAACTGGGGTACAGGCCAGAGGTGCAGGGGCAGTGAGAGGATTTACCAGAGACAGAGTGGGAGCAGAACAGGCTGACTGACAAAGTACACTGCTGAGGGGAGCAGCGGAAGGGTCAGGAGAGGTCTGCCGCACCATGTGGGTCACCTCCGGGGCAGGCGGGGATCGAACTCATGCAGAAGTGGCTTTAGCTTCTTAGTGCTGGGCTTTACCCTGCTGCGCCATCAGGGAGGGCCAAGAACAGAATTCTTTTTAAGGCCTGCTAGTGACCTTGGCCTTAACTCTTCATCAGAAATCCAGGCCAGGTGGGTAGATCAGTGACCCTAAGTATTGCAGAATGTCATATGTCACTAAAAGTAGTACCAGGATCAGGGAATTGACAATATGGAAAGACAAGGGGCTTGGACCATGTGGCACTTTCTGTCAGCCCTGGTCTTGCAGCTTCTGTTGCTATCAGGGGCCAGAGTTTGCTGGGAGGGACATTTGCAGAACTTCAGCTTCTGAAGGAGTGCATTTATGATCTTTTTATTTATTTATTCATACAAGAACCTGGTGTAGGCCAGAGATGCAAGGGGTGAGAGGAGTTACCAGAGGCAGAGTGGGGAGCAGAGCAGGTGGGTATTCTGAAATACACTGCTGAGGGGAGCAGCAGGTGAGACAGGAGAGGTCTGCTGCACCATGTGGGTCACCTCCCTGGCCAGGCATCAAACTCTGGCCTCAGTGATTGGCGATAGCTTGATAGAGCTCGCTTTAACTCCAGTGCCACACGGGAGGCCCCACATTGGATGATTTTAAAGACCCTGCAAAGCCAAGATCCTTGGATAGCAGTGCCCATGGGCTGCTTTTCCTGGCCTCCTGAACCATGGGTATTAGTGCTTCATTTGCTACCTGTTGCTCAGTAGGTCAGCTGGCTGTCTCTGTAATCTTCCACCTCATTCTGCCACAGTGCCCTGTGTGGGCTAGGGACAACACACACTCTGTAAAAATTAAAATTAAAAAAATGCCTGCGGAAGTTTCCACCGATGCCTCCGGGCTCTCTGGTCACCTCTCGAAGGCGTCTGGTAACCAGTGGGAGTGTGGATGAGGCATATATGTTAACACCAGAGCGATTACCTCATGTCTGAGTCTTGCTGCAACATGAGGTCAGCCCATGAAACAACAATTTCAAAAAAGGAGGCAATTTTCCACCCAGTTCTCTGAACTCTAAAGAATGAGCATTTTCTAACTCTGTATTTCTTAGCCTTAATGCTTATAGAATTTTTTAAGAAAGGATCTTTTCACAGAGTTCTGCAATGATGTAGGGATAAGAGTGGGCATGCAGACATTGGCACAAGAAGGAGATCAGCAAAACCCCAGACACTGGGTGATTCAGCCTTTCTGCTTCTTTGGGCTTCATATGCAGGGGGGCCAAGAATCATGGGGTCACTTTCCCTCTGTGGGAGAAGAGATGGGCAAAAGCATGGACAGCATGCTGAGACTCCTGAAAAAGCCTAAGTATTTTGGGATCCATGGCAGATGCCCCATTGGAGAACTGTTCTAGCATATTCTGACAAGGTGGGGAAAGTCTATTCTGCCATATAATTCCAGACCTTGACGCCCAGTAGGGCTATAAAGAGCTCCAGTGTCTCTTAGAAGTTCCTGTCATAGCAAAACCAAGACATAGAGATGCAAGCAAGACCAGAGCCTCTTCAGAAGGCTCAGGAATCTGATAAGGTGGTCATGAAGTGAGCGCAGGCTAAGGGCAAGCTGGCTGTAAAGGAATGGAGCTCAAGAGTCTGGTCTTTGGGCAAAAAGAAATATGGGCTGCTTTTTCTTTCATTCTTTCTTTTGGAGAACATTTATAGACCTTAAGGAAGTTGTCTCTTGGGCCCTCCCTGGTGGCAAAACGGGTTAAAGCACAGCACTATGAAGTAGTCTGAGCCTTGCTATAAAATCCATGTTTACCTGTAAAGAAAAAAATGAAGATAGTTGCACTGAGGTTCAGAACAACTTCCTTCAGCATGGTATTGTAATGGTCTATAAAGGCCTTTGACCTCTTCTTAAAATGATCTATTATGGGGGGGTGGGGTGGGGGGGGGGAATGTGCTTCATGCTTCTTCCTAATTGGAGTGTTAGGCTCTGGAGCCCTTGGACATTGGGTGGTGCCTGGCCTGCTGAAATGCCTGCAGGAGCTCACATGTCTGTCTCTGGATTGCCAGGAAGTCCCCAGTGCTGACCAGCACGCCTTCAGACACTTATTGTTTTTCCAGACTTGAACGTCTAGCGGATGTTTTTTGCTGAGGCAGGGAAGCTAGTGCTTTGTGGAGAGAGGCTGGGGCGGCTGGACGGAGGTACGGGGAAGAGGTGTGATTCCTTGGGCTTTGTCATCTGTCCTTTTGTTGAGAAGGGGAGTGGGGCTTAAACATTTCCATTTTTGGCAAGGGGTGGAAGGGAAACAACCAAGATACTCAGCACATATGGAGGGCGAATTGTGGGACTGGGAAAGTTAAAGAAGGATTGAGAATGGAAGAAATGGGACGATGTCACTTAGCTAAAGTTTCGAAGAATCCAAACAGTTGGAATTCTCCAAAGCATTTGATCTTTCTGGTCTTCAGGAGAAAAAAGAGCAACCTTGTAAGATCAGAATCTAGAATCAAATTTGTAGTTTCACTAAAGGTGCCTGAATGCTTATTCTGGTTGTCTGAGAAGGGAGCTAGACTTATACATTAAATAGTAATAACTGTGTTTTCCAGAGAGGCCCCCCATTCCTGTCCAATATCCTGGCTTGCTAGGGTTTACCGGGCCTAGCTGGCAGCACTTCACTGTCCCTGACAGAGCAGCTGTGGCCCACCCCCCATCCCTCTGTGACATCCACCCCACTTGAAAGTCCGGGAGAAGGGTGAGGCCTGGGCCTGGTGAGGAAGCCCATGGTATTGGAGACCACTCTGGGGTCTCTGGGGGACACCAGAGCACAGGCGTACATGTCCACACACGTCGTTCCCTTGACATGACTAGATGCTCCCTTTCAGACACCATGAGGACATCTATTAATAATTCCCATTTTAAAACCAAAGTCACAGGACCCAGGTGGGCCTTGGACATTGGATCACTGGTGAGAAGTAATGATGAGCAGCCTGGATCAAAGCCTCAGGCCTAAGTCACACAATGGAGGTCATGAGCTCACCTGTGCCATGCTGCTCTCCTCTGCTTGGGAGTTTGCTCAGTCCCCTAGGGCTTCCCCCGTGAAGGACCAGCCACATTCCCCACAGCATTTTCTAGTTTATTTGTACCAAGAGATAAATGCTTTCTGGAAACTTTCCTGTGGCTTCCTGAACATGACAGATTAAGCCAGACCTGTCACCCCGCTAACCCTGTCCTCCTTTCTTCCCCCAGTGCCCCTCCCCTTGCACCCTTTCTACCACCTACTCCCCACTTTGGACATGACTGTCCTCTGCCCTAGTGGTATCTCTCTCAGGCACACCCAGTTTGGCAGAGGCCATATTTTCACAAACGGGGCTGCAGGAAATGAGATTGGGCTCACAAGGCAAGTTTGGACCTTGCCTCAGAGGGAGAGCTGTGCCCTGCTGGCAGTTCAGACCCAGAGCCACTGGGGGGAGTTTGGGGTTTCCAGGAGCCCTGAGGTTCTGGGCAGGGGTGGTCAGAAGCAGAAGAAAGAAAAAGAATCTTTTTGCATTTTCTAAAAGTTTGTGTTCTGTCTGCATATTTGAGTCTGACCTGTGGAAAAATACTAAGAAACTGCCTTTTAAAATAGTGGCAGTGCGAGAGAAGAAAATAGGTTGTATGACAGGGAGACCACGGGAAAGGTATCTATCTTGAGTCCTATTTTTAATTTAAACCTAATGGAAAACACATTTTGTGTGTTGTGGCCTTCCTACTGGCAGCCTCAGATGGCCGGGCAAAGGTGATGGGCCCAGGCAGTCAAGCTGGTGAAGGATTATCCCTTCCAGGCCCAAGTCTGAGCCGTACAGGGGAACAGGATCCCGCCAAACAAAGACCAGCCTTGCCTGGACTCAGTAGTCAGCCGGCCTGTTGTCTAGAGACAAAACCTTCCTTCCCTCCTGCCTCCCCCTTCCTCTCCCACCCACACTTCAGCCTGAGCCATTGAAGGCAGCGAGGAAAAAGACCCAGTCTCAATAGGCCAACTGCAAGAGGATGCTGGTGAACCCTCTGTGAGGCTGAGACAAAGGCTCTGGCCTTGACCTTAGTCCCACTTGCTCCAGGTGTCCCAGATGAGCAGGTTAGGCTGGGGGCCTGGAGAGCTGAAGAAAGCCCTATTGTGAGGGCTCAGCCCACAGCTGCAAAGCTTCGCTGTGCTGTGCTCGTTTCCATCTTTTTTGGATCCCTAATGCTGTGTCCAGTGCCGGATGGACTCAAACATGGAAAATTCCTTTTTCCTTATGCTTTCATTTTGGGAAGGCCATTCCACTCTCAGCACCAGTCACTTCATGCTTTTTTTTTTTTTTTTTTAGATTTATTTATTCATGCATACAGAACTAGGGTACAGGCCAGAGGCTCAGGGCGGCGAGAGGCTTCACCAGAGACAGAGTAGGGAGCAGAACAGGCAGATTAACGAAGTACACTGCTGAGGGGAGCAGCAGGCGGGCCAGGAGAGGTCTGCCATGCCATGTGGTCACCTCCGGGGCAGGCAGGAATCGAACTCACGCTAAGTGGCTTTAGCTTCTTAGTGCTGTGCTTTAACCCGCTGCACCACCAGGGAGGGCCCACTTCATGCTTTTTTAGAGCAAAAGGGATCCAAGATAAATTCTTTCGTGTGCGTGTGTGTGTGTGTGTGTATATATATATATATATGTATGTATGTATATGTATATATATGTATATGTATATATATGTATATATGTATATATATGTATATATATGTATGTGTATATATACATATATATGTATGCACATTTATATATATATGCTATATATAATAGGCACATATGCCTATATATATTTATTTATATATATATATATGCTTGCATATATGCATAACTATGTAAAAAAAGCAACTACACAAGTATTTTAACTGAAGTATGGCATACAGAGCTTGCAAACATTATAAATAACTCACTCAAGCAATGATCACAGACCGAATCCACTCACTGGTAGTAGCACCCCCACATTAAGGGGGAGAGCGGGAGGCCCCTCATGGTCTCTCTCTGCCATCAGCCCTTTCTCCCCCAAGGTGACCACTATGTTGACTTCCAACACCAAGGCGATTTTTACCTGTTTCTTGCCTCTGTGCTTTCTGGCTGTGCATCCCTGAGCAAATTACTTGACTTCTCTGAATGGAAGGGGATAAGCTTCCACCTTCATGGAATTGCAAGGTTCACCAAGGATTAAGGGAGAGACTAGGGCAGAAGCATCCAGCACACAGTAAACCTTGCAAGAGCGCTGGCTTCTCCCCTCCCTACGCACACTCTTTACTATGAGGGTGTCAGGAGGGACTAGCAACTTGGCAGTAGCGCTAGTGCATCCAGAAGAGCCTCGTGGAGGAGAAAGAAACCAAAACCACTGAGTGGGAGACCAGGTTCTGGGAGAACCTTCTCAATTCAGAACAAGTTCCCTGACCAGCGCGTTGTGCCATCCTTTGCCACCTGAGGCACTGGCTAAGTAAGAACTGAAGTGAAGGGAATGCTGATCCCTTGAGCGAGCATCCAGATGCCCCAACCAGCCCCTCCACATCCTTCTGGGAGTGAAACTTGAACCAAGAACAGTCTTCAGGGCAAAATCCTTTTCCTAGGTTACCATGAAATATGTATTTCATGCAAGCTTTGCTGAGGTCAAACGACCCTTTCTCTTGGCTTTCTGGGAGTTTCCTGTGGAATTCACGTGTGCCCAAAGAAGAACTTTCACCAAGGGGGAAATTTAATAAATGTGGTTTATCTAAGCTTCGTGCTCCAGCTAAATCTGCCCTAATGACTCAGGCAGTTTGCTCCTCAGAGACCGGCATTTTTCTTTATTTGCTCCAGTCATGAGCTTTCTGCCTGAGGGAGAGAATGTCGGGGACTAAGAGGCAGACATTCTTGATCTTCCTGCTCAGATTTTTTTCTACTCCCTTGGAACGTTGGGTTCCATTTCTTAACCTCCTTCCAGCCATGGAGGATTATTTCTTATTGCAGCAGAACGCATTCATAACTCTCATTCCGGAGGACAAGACAAATGCCTAGCAAGCTTCTGAAAAAGGGTTTATTGTATGTAATTGTGATGTCTGTGGGAGAAGGGATCTAAAATTAGTCATGATAATGGCTAGCATTTATTGAACACATAGTTTGGGCCAACATCCATTATGAGCCAGGGCCATTCCCACTTTCAGTCACTTCATGCTTTTTTAGAGCAAAGGGATCCCAGATAAATTCTTGCATATATATCTATATCTATATCTATATATCTATATATCTATCTATGACCATTGTTAGCCCATTTTATATCGGAGGACCTATGGCTTGCAGAGATGAGAGAAGTTATATTGATGGATATCATATAATACGGAGTAAAAGGCCATTGCAATTTCAAATTCTTATTTGCATAACAACTTACACTAAAAGAAGGTTGTCTTGGCCTCACTTTGTCACTGACACTTTGGAGATGGGCTAATCAAATACAGCTGGTTCTTGTATGTGACCTGCATGTGACTGTAACATTTGTCCCCATCTCCACATATAACCACAGAACAGCCTCAATACAGCGAACACCCCTGCTATGGGGTCTGGACCTATTTCAAAGCCAAAAGTAACAGGCATCAAAGCCAGAAGTCATAGGTTGTAGGCAGTTGGATGATTCTTATAAAATTCTCTCGTATGGTCTAGCTGGTAGGGCACACACTTCCCTGGAGGCAGCACCAGACGCCCACAGCTGGGCGAGGCGGCAGCTCCACTCCTGCATGCCTTCCATGACTGGAGACTAAAAATAGGAGCATCTGACAGCCCACTCTGTGTTCCAAGCCCTGGCACCCAAGTCACCCCACTCGGCCACAGGGAGCAGAGGAAAGGATTATTTAAAAAGACTTGCCTAGCCTCCAACGCCCATGTCAGGCTGATATTGTCGTTCGTAAAAGCAGAGTCCTGGCCTGGTCTTCAGAGCAAGGGCTCATGTCCCCAGGAGACGCTCAAGGGGAATAACAAAATGCCCGCATTGACAGAATGAAACTTTCAAATTTGCTTGAGTCAAAGGAAGCAGTCCAGGGTGAGGAAGGAAAGGAGAAGGTTTTTTACGTGCGAAGACCACAAACAGTGTCAACACTTTAAAATGCTAGACGGGCCCTGGCTGGTGGCACAACAAGTTAGGATGCAGCACTGCAAGCTAGTGGCAGCCACTTCAGTGTGAGTTCGATCCCTGGCTCTGGAGGGGACCCACAGGGTGAGCAGACCTCTACTGTCTCACCTGCTGCTCCCCTCAGCAGTGTACTTCATCCATCTGCCTGTTCTTCTCCCCACTCTGTCTCTGCTGAATCCTCTCACTGCTCCTGCACCTCTAGCCTGTACCCCCAGTTCTTCTGTATGCATAAATAAATAAATAAATAAATCTTTAAATTAAAAAAAAATGCCTACACGAGTGCCGTAATCAAAGTTTGAGCGATTGTGGACATCGTGCTAAGGCGGCAGGAAATTCATCATGTGACCCCTGGTGTTTAGCTGTACTCATTTAGACGCGTGCCAAGGGAGAAAAGAATTAATACTCAGGGTACTCCCCATGCCGCCCTCCTTCCCAGTTCCCATTCACCAATAATGAGTACCCAAGAAGGAGCTACCCCAAATCCAGGCCGTCACAGTCCAAGGGGATTGCACTGTCTGCTCCTGGGCGTGGCAAACTACAAGGTACAGGCCAGCGCTGGCCTGTGGACAGAACAAAACAAAAACAAAGAAGAATGTGCAAGAGACTGTCTTTAGCCCACAAAGCCGAAAGTATTTACTATCTGGTCTTTACAGAAGTCGTTTGCCAACCCCCGTTGCAGTCCAAACCCTTCATTTTTCTGATGAAGAAATCAAGGTCTAGACACATAAAGTCACTTGCCCACAGTCACGGGGGAGTTAGTAAGCGAACCAGGACAGATCCTGGCTTTCTGATTCATGGTCCTGAATGAATCAGGACCATGTCCTGAATCGTGTCACTGCCACGATGTGACACAGCTACAGAGAGCTGCAGAACCACAAACAAGTCCCACCCACAAACGCTCTGTCCTAACTTACTGAGACCCTAATTCCCGGAAGGATGACACCTCCCCCAAATGGATTATGTTAACTTTTTCTTTCTCTCCAGTAGCTGTCTGTCCTTCTCCCCTGCTCCCCATCTCTTCCCCTTCCCGCCCCTTCTCTGGACATCTCCTGCTCTTGCTTTCAGGAATGTTCTGGTTATAACCCGCCTTTGCTTTGCCTTTCAGGTTCACTATTGGCCTATAATACAACCTCCCACACAGACCAGTCCTCACGGCTGAGTGTCAAAGAAGGTGAGTCTGCTGCCGCATGCACTTAGAAAGTTCCTTAGCGCCCGGTGTGGCACATGAAATCCAGGCTGTTAAGTGGGGCACTTCTGCACATCTTGCAGCTTTTTCTAATGCTCAAGATGCCAATGCTTATCCCACGGGTGCCACTCATTACAAAAAAAAATATTACAAGGTTTTAAAATGCCTTCTTGTACCATAAAGATTGGGCTTGAAACAGTTACTCTATTAAAGAAAGTGTGTTAGTCTTAGAAGGCTCACTTTCAAAGCTGACTATGGGGGATTTGTCTGTGGAAGATCACGAAATGAAAATTTCAAGGATTCCTGCCATGTCACATCTTAAGGAATTTTTTTTTTCTAACACATTTTAGCAATGCTGGTTCATTTTTGAAGTGGTCATTTAGAATTTGGTATCGCTGGTTTGATTTGGCTTGGCTTGGTTGAGAGAGAAAGAAAGTAGTCTCTTAGCAAATAAGCTTTTAGCAAACATTAAAATAGCATTTCTCAGCACCTTTGTTTATGAGACATTGTGAACATTTATTGTTCCAGCTATTGTGTCAGATTCTAGGCATTTATACAGGTATATAATTCAAGATACCAGAATAGAATGTGGACAAATAATTATTAGCAAACAGTCAGTTAAAAAAAAAAAATCCTGTGCAAAGCAGAAGAAAACTTCCACAGAGCAGGGGACTTTTGAATGGGGTTTTGAAGAACGAATAGGAGTGCTTCACACATTCTCTTTTCTTGTCTCTGGCTTCTCCACTGTTTTTTCTTTGACCCATACATGCCAAATTCAAACAGAAGGTAAAAATTTTCAGTACCAGTTAGTCAGCACAGCATAATATTTCAGAAAAATGCAAGTTCTTCTAAGGGAAGAGGCTTGGAAACCATTTGGTTCCAAAGCACCCTGACTTATGGAGGAGATAGTGATCCAGAGAACCTGAGTGTCATCTTAGCCAAGATCACACCTTTGTATTTCCTGTTAATAATCAGGAAATATCATCAGATGATCGACAGAAAATATAGTGGAGGAACTAGATAGCATAATGAATCTACTTTAAACTTCTGTGTTCTCATCTGCTTCTTTCTCTTCTATTTGTATGACCCTTTTCATTTCTATTTGTATGACTGTTTTCATTTTTTGGACTTTGCCATGAGAACTGATGTCATATTTAGTCCAACCACGTTCTATAGTCCAAGACACATTTTGTTTGAACCTATTTACCTCATGTTACAAATGTCCATAAGAGAGAAAATTCATCATGGTCACAAACACAATAGATTGGAGGTCAGAGCATCTTGGCTTTCTTAGGGGGGATCACTTCCTGTTCTGAACCTCCATTTCCTCTCAAATGAAGGGGATGAAAGACCCCAGCCCTGACTTCCAAGCTTTTGGCTTATAAGGAGATGAACTGGGGCTGCAAGCAAAGGCTGTGTCTTTATTCAGAGCCTGATTTACTTCTTGTACTTTATTTCATTTGCAACAGGACATGCTTTCTGGAAGGAAGAAAGAAGGAGAGGCTAGGGAAAGGGGGGTGGACAGGAGAGGAGAGAGGAAAAGAGGGAGAGAAATAAGAGAGGAAGGGAGGGAAGAGAGGTAATCCTTAAAAGCTCCTCTCATTCTAAAGAATGAGACCTGCAGACTACATCAGAATTAACCAGTGAGACTGGGGCAGTCAGTAAGAGAGTTCCTGGTATTGAGCTTAAAATACAAGTTTTCCTTTAGAAGCTAACTCATAAGAGTTGAAGTGTGCTGATAACCAACACATTATTCCTCCAGGGGCTTAGCTCTTCAGTCCCCTCTACCTGTGACCCTGCATTCCCCTCCCTTGGCTCTTTGTGTATGGCCGCATTTGCAAGCCTGCTGGGCTTACTGGGGCTTATTGCAAGAGCAGCTCGCTCTTGCTGGGTAGCAGCTCTCTTCTGAGATGAATTAACTGTGGTATCCAGGCAAACACACACTGCCAGGACCTCATTCAGGTGGTGCCCGGGCATTTATCTCCCGACATTGGCCTTGGCCTCTAGAGACGATTAAGGCTGTGCTTTGCAGGTGCATCTTTTGTGCCAATAATGCTTTCCACTTGAGCTGTCTTGCTGCTCTAGCCTCCACCACCCCCCTCCCTGAGAGGTGGTCTGAACAAGCCATCTTGCCACAAAACAAAGTACATTAGCAAGACAAAGCTAACGGGGCTTTTCTCTCCTTCCTTTTCACCCTCCTGCCCACCTCTCTCTCCCTTGCCTGCTTTTCTCTAATAGCTATCTTTATTTCTTAACATATTAAAAGAAAAAGTAAAGAGCGGACATGGTGCAACCTTGTTTGAATAAGACACACGCACAAGCCCAGACAAACCCAGAGTTCATCAAGAGCGACAGAGCTCTGTGTGTGTGCATGCGAGTGTGTGTGTGTGTGTGTGTGTGTGCGCGTGTGCGCACGGCCTTACTACACAAAGGACACGTGCTGCCATCCAGTGCAAAGAAGCTGAAGAGATGATGCCTATTAATGCTTCTTCAGTGCACTTATCAAATCAGAATGCCTTTCTACTTTAAAATAGCATAATCACCCTTGCAGCTTGTCTTTTGAAAATGGTTGCAATCTCTAAGGACTATTTGTGGCCAAGAAGTAAGGCTAGATTTTAAAAATTAATCTATAACTGTCTCGAAGCCCCTTTAAATTCAGTTTTCTATGGCCATGACTGGCAGCTAGCTCTCTCTACTTTGAGTTATCAAGGCTTGTGAATCTTTAAAATAAATTGAGAGTCAAGCTATGTTTGTCCATTTCCAACAACAGCCATCACTGTCTCTGTCCAGGACTTTGCAAAGCCTCACACACTTCTTATTTAGTCTCTCAGCTTGCTTTTGAACTTTGCAACATTTCCAGGAGGTGGGTAAGACTACCTTCATTTTGCAGTCAGACAAAGTGGGTTTCAACAATATTAAGGGGCTCGAGGGAAGGGGACAGACACAGCTATTCGCCATCAGAGCGAGGGTTGTATAAAGGTCTCCCTGTTAAGTTCAGCCTTTCCTTTCCTGCTGACTTTTAATGAAAATAATACTTGGCCTAAATGTAGTTTGGGTAGAGATTTGGATTTTCTCCCATTGTTTTCTCTGTCACTATTATCTCTATCCACATCCTTACATGATTCTCTTTGGCCAAAGAGATTTATACAGAACCCTTGTGTGGCACCACCCCCTTGTCCCCACTGCACAGAGAGTCAGTTGGAGAGATTGTAAAAAATGCTGATGCCCTGGACAAATACTTCTATGTCTCCACTCACAAGAGGGAGCTGGGGTAGATCCTGCAGACAGACAGTAGGACAGGGCCAGGGGAGGGGCCTGGCTTAGAACAGCTTCAATTTGAGAAGAGGAATAAACTCTAACACTGATGGCTGCCCAGCAATGTTAATACACTAGTGCCTTGAGGTGTACACTTGAACATGACGAAAATGGAGAATTTCATGTTATGTCTGCTTTATCATAGTAAACAAAATTGCAAAATCAAAACAAATTTAAGTGTCAGTGCCCTCAACGTGCTCCATTCAGTCAGAATCCCAGTTAATTTACATGGGAATTGGACCTCTTAAAGTTCACAGAGTTTCTCTTGAAACCTGCAGCCAAGGATGAGAAGTCCTGCTTTAGAATGCAGACAAACGAAGGGGTGGAAACAGGGTTTCTGGCCTCAGGTCAACCTAGAGAAGGAATAGCAGGCCCTGGGGGGAAACTGAGGACATGCCTGTGAGCACGGCGGCCATGCCACGATCAGCCCTCTTTTCATCATCAATGTCATTATTGCTTTTGACGACTTTACGTTGGCGTGTCACATCTCAGAAATTCCTTTCTTAGGGGTCCTCACGTGGACCCCTAAAATGCAAATACAGCGATGGTCACTGTACTTTGCGGAGAGGGCCCTGGGGGTCTACGTGTTGGATGGTCTTTCGACATGGAGAGCTGGGGCCAGAACCGCTAACCCCAAACCTCGTTCTCGTCAGTCTCTGTGCTGAGGTGTGTGTGGCTGATTGGGCATACATAGGTCAGAGCTCCCCCCACCTTGTTTTTCAGGGTGAGGCCTGCCCTCGGGCCTCCAACATACTCAGCTGGACGATGGGCACGCAGAAATCAGTAGGCCTCCCCCAGAGCTGCTTTGCATGTAACTCTCATTTTCTTGGCCCTTCCTGCTGGATCTGTTTTAAATGCCTCCGACTCTCCAAAATTCAGAGGATATTGAGCTCCTTGTTTATTAACTTCTGGAACTCATAAACCCTCCAAGGGCCGGGGTAGGACTGAGCTTCTAGCCCCAGCCTGGGAAGCCTTTCAGGGGCCGCTGCTGACAGCGAACGGCTGCTGCTCTCGGTGGGCTGTCTGCCTATGGAATCACCATCTCGAGCAGTTGCCATGGCTAATAGGTAAAAAGTCTGTCCGCTTACACGCTAAGTTTGGGAAGGAAAGGGAAACTACCTTTCTGTGTCCTTTATAGTGAAATGCCTGACTGTGCTGCAGGCCACGCGAAGGAGAGCCCCACTTCTCTCAAGGAGATTTCCAGATGGCCAGCCCTGTGCACGTGCAAGTACCCGGCTGCCGCAGCCCTTCCTTCCTCGCCAGCATTTGCACATCCATTATCTCCTTTGTGCCTCACGCCTCTCCATGAGACAGCAGGGCTGGCATTATTATTAGCCCCATTCTGTAGAAAACTAAAGCAAGACACAGAGAGATGCCAGGGCTTACCAAGGCCTGGGGACAGAGTAGGACCCAAATCCCATTCCCTGTTGTCCTTTTCTGCCTCCAGGCTGGTTCTCACATCACTATCTAATATAGTTAATTAAGCATCTGACAGCCTCTTAAATAGTCCTTGATCAGTGCTCTCAATGTATTGAAGTCAAGTATTGATCTCCTATTTCAGCATCGTGGCATGTTGAATAAAAACTCACTATGAGAACTCAGGCTGCGTGACTTTCCTGCCTCGGTTTCCTCCTGTACAAAATGCAGATCATTTTAGTAGCCCTTCAGGG